TCTCAAGTAACTGAAGAGCAGACTGCTCTCTTCTGTGAACAATCTCAACGGTGTGGTAGGAAAAAATCGCACCACCGGACTGACTTTCACCCCAAGCGTGGGGATTTGACTTGACGCCGGCTGACTTGTGACTCATATGATCAAATCTCATACCGACCATTTTACTATTGTCGATTGTTTTCATCTGTTTTTATGTGTTATCTTTATGTGTTATATCTCCCATTATTATTAAAATTTAGTATATAAACCGTTTCATGCTATACCCGTGACTCCAGTCATTCTTAAACAACCTCCAATTCTCCCCGAACCTAATTATTGGCCCATTTGTTTATTTTTTCTTTTAATTATCTTATTGTATCCTGTAATCCGGTTACAGTTCCACGCCTAAGTCTCCATATTTCTATGGCTTCCTTAATCCATCTTTTATATTTTTGTTGTTCGGGGGTTATGATCCTTGTGTTGTCCCAGTCCATCCAGCTCTGAGGAAGATCGCAGGAGCGATCGAAACTGTTAGCAAGGTAAAAAAAAATACTTTCCTGTGTTTAAAAAAGAACTTTAAAAAGCATTTAGAAGAAAAACACAAAGAATTTACTAAAGAAGGTCTAGAAAAGTTCTGTTACAATCTTAAAACTCCTAAATAAAGAGAAAATCATCATTGTTTCTAAAATGGATGAAAACATGAAACTACTTTTTAGAAAACGAGTTTCTCTCCTAAATGTTTTGATTTTAAATGTATTTTTTAAATGTTTCTTGATGTTTATGAAGTTCTAACCCTAAGTTTAGCTCTTCTAATGAAATCAACCCGTGTGACGCGATCCCTACGGGTTTTTCTTGCAGTGCGTTCATCTTTGAAGCTTTAGGCACATTTTTAGAAACCAAAGCAGCTAAAGAGTCCAGATTTTTTTTGCATTTCAATGGAAATTCTTTTAAACCGAGTTTATAAATTACTGCAAATAACCCCAAACTCTTCCTGTAGACTGTTTTCTTGAGTGTCTACGCTGATGATTAAAGCAGGAAACGGTCAAAGTGTCTGATAAATCCACTTCCTGCTCCTCTCCTTTGATCCAGTGAGATTGAAAACCGTCTCTCCTCACTCTTGACTGAATGGATGAGTGCTGCCCACTCTCCCTTCTTATTTCCTCTCTCTGGGTGATAGCACTTTTTAATTAAGGTGGTGGTGAGGCGACGTGGGCATGATGAAGGGCTTTATCAGGCCCTCTCCTCACTCGCAGCTTATCCCAGAGCGCGAGGCCATGCTTCCCCGATAAGGTGGCTAATGGAAGCGGGAGCATGAATTCTGCACACACACACACGTCTTAGGACATGAGCAGAGACATGCAAACATGTGCGTTTTCTCAGATGATGGAGATCAGGAACCTTTACGGTGTGAAATGTGCCGAGTTGACTCGTTTCATTGATAAAATCGGCTGAAATCGTTTCATACGGGAGTTTCTCTGCTAGATTTCTGATGTTTTTAGGCCCTAACGCGCACACAGCAGGGTGTGTGTGTGTGTGTGTGTGTGTGTGTGTGTGTGTGTCAGACTGGTTCCACGGTGGGGTCAGCATCTACAGGGAGCCGCTGCAGTGCAGTCATGTCTTAATGAGGCTCGTCAGTCGTCAGACTCTCTGCATCCTCCCTCCTCTGATTCTCTCTCTCCTCACCTGTCACTCATCCACCCTTTCCCTCTCTTTTCCCTTTTCACTCCCTCCTCTATCACCCCCCCCCCTCAATCTCCCCCTTTTCCTGCCTTCATCCGTCTTTTATCCCTATCTCCTCCGTTTTTGGCGCATCCTCCTTACTCGTCTCTCTCTTCTTGCTGTAATCCCATTCTTTCCCCTCCCATCCTCTTCATCCTCCTTGGAGGCCACTGAATGGGCAGCTCAGAGGAGAAAAAGTGCTGAGGCAGCAGGATTTCTCCCCGAAGGGCTTAATCTGCTGAGGCTCTGCTCGTCGATAGCCTCCTGCACACCGTTCCCTCAACAATGACTGTCTGTCTGCACAGTCACAGCAGATAAAGAGATGCTTCTGTGTGTGTGTGTGTGTGTGTGTGTGTGTGTGTGTGTGTGTGTGTGTGTGTGTGTGTGTGTGTGTGTGTGTGTGTGCATCTTTCCCATCTCTGCTCTCTTTTTGAGCATTTCCAGCTCGCTACTTTTCCCACCTCTGTCGGCCTTTCTGATTGACAGGCCCTGAAAGACGCTCACGCACGCACGCGTGGGTGGCCGTTTGAACGCAGCTGCGTGTGTGTGTGTGTTTACGTGCAAGCATAAACACAGAGGTGTGTGTTAATGCATGCATTTGCTGCTGAGCCTGTGTAGAATACTCACGCAGTAACCGTGGGAGGCTGAAGTCACATGGGCATCGCTCCTCTCGGGTAACAAAGTAAGGAAGCCATCGTAGCTCTGTCAAATGTCAGGGAATCTTAAGTGTGCCTTTTAAAGCACAATAGGCGGTGAAAATGTCAACACTTGAAGGGTCTATTACACTTCAAGCCTTTGGTGCTCGTTTCTTCTTTTCAGCTCTTTTGATTTCCTTTACTGAGGCTCTCTCAGAAATCTGAAAGAAACGGGCACAACTATCCACCCATTAATGCCGAGATTCAGTTCAGTCCCGGCGTGGTTAAGTTTAGCGTGTTTGTAATGCAGCCACTGTTTGTTTCACAGGTGTGTAAGGATGTGTGATTCCACTGAATTCAGGACTCGACTGAGCTCAAAAACCAACGTCATGGAAAAAAAGATTTAATTTCCAAATTATAAAATTATTTTCTTGCATTACATGCTCAGAATTTGTCCTTTCTTCCCAATGAAGTACAGCGTTCTTTTTATGCATGCACTTTAGCTAAAAACAAAAAATGTATGAAAATGTCTCAATTATGCATGAATTTTTGATAACTGTTATACAATGGACTATTTTTACCAATATTCTAATATTTTACTGTAATATCATCATACATTACCCTATTTAAGTACAAATGAGATTACTATCTGTATTTTTTCTTGGTGTGGCAATTGCAGCCTTAAAATTTCAGATGGCAGAATGAGGGCAAAACCCAGTTTACTCATTTCTCTTTAATTATTTTTAAAGGTGGATCAAAGTTCCCTGAAAACCCGTTTTTACATATTTTTGAAATATGATCAGTCACTCTGAGTTTAACATGCAGGCTAAGCATGAAAATAGTCTTCTACCCCAATTTCCTGCATTAGCTGCCGATAGTAAATAGACAGGGAAATGCTCAGATTAGAACGTGTCATTGAAAAATTTGCACTTATTGACTCATCCGTCTTGGCTCATGGCAAGTAAGGCTCCAGGGTCCTTGAGAGAGCAGAGAAGGCCTGGGCTAGAAAAAGCTAACCGTTATTTGTAAAGATAAAACATCACTGTTGCAAAGCAAACAAAGTCTGTGCTGTTAGCCAATCAGAAGCCAGATGTCTGAATATCAGGAAATGAGATGCCAAATCCTGTCGTGCTCAGGGTAACTTTGCAGTGGCTAACTTTGAGCCCCTGAGCTTTTTCCCCTAAAGAAATCTATTCAAAAGCATTAATTTTTAGATGCCACTGTAAAAGTGTTGGGGAAAAACACGAGTGAACTTGATCTTTAAAAACGACCCTCACAAGGTCTGCGACACAGCATCTAAAAAAAAGTTCACTTTTTTTTTAATCACCAAATAAAAATACAATTTAGTTTAATGACTTTTTTTTTTGAATTTCCAAGCTACTGTAGCAGCTCTTCTCTGCTTTTAGAGCAGCTCTATCTCTCCAAGTGTCATGTGATCAAGTAGAAAGTTCAGTTTAGCAAGAGCTATGTATAAATACTCTTATCCTAAAAAGGCGTCAACACTTTTCTTTAGTTTCTTGTGAGATTTAAGTCATTTAGTCATAATTCATGTTTTAACAGTTTGAGTCTGCCCCCTGCTGGTGTTCAGCGGTAAATGCAACCTTATTAAAATGCGAACTTTACACGTTTAGACCAGACCTTCTAGAATAAACCTATTACTAATCAACGTTTGTATTCTTAAAGTTGTTATTTTAAAATACAGTTAAATAAAGAAGGAAAGTGATCATAATGTATAATCTGGTGTTCTGAGTGTGGCTTGATGCTCTTACTGCTGTGTTTTGGGCTAAATAAACTGTGTGTTTCTCAACTCAAAGAGCAATCATATCCAATAAATCGGGATTATGATCTTTTTCCCACCCTAATCATGCAGCCGTAGGTGTTTGTTGCTTGGAGTTCAATATAGAGTTCATTAGATTTAGACATCCCTCTGGAGCTTGAGCAAACACAAATCCTATACAGAGTTAGCAACAATAAAAAGCAATATGTCTCTGTTTCATATGTGCAGAATTTTCATATACGTGGTCCTTTTGTGCCCGTTTGAGTTTGTTTGTGGGAGATAACGCAAAGAACGAGAGCCGCCGCTGCCGCCAGGGCCCAGGCAGAGAATGGGTTCTTTGTTGAGGCGTTAGCCTCTCATTACCGAGTCGGGTTGACCCTCAGAACCCCTCGCTAGACGGGCCGTCTGCATGTCACTTCCTGCCCGAGCCTCGCAGAGCAGCGCCACTGGTAGGCTATTGTTCCTGGGAGAGCGTGATAGGATCGAGGAATGTGTCCTAATGTTTGCAGATTGGCTCGCCAAGGCAACAATTACAGTTGGAGCAAAGCTCCCCAAGGAGAGGCGGCGAGATAAGAGCCTGGGTGTGGAAGACGATCTGATCTAGGTGTGTGTGTGTGTGTGTGAGATGATCTTTTATTGTCTTAATAGCTTACCCACACGGATCTGCTCATACTGACGATCCACAATAGAGAAGTTTTGCCAATTTCCTGCAGAGCGACAGAACTGAAATAGCTTTCTTTGTTTTAGTGCTCATTAGTTTCTCGTCACATCTTCACGCAGACAAACACGTCATCCTCGGAGCGGCAGATTTCTATCGTGACAGCTGTCGTCTGCAAAGCAAAGTCTTTGTTTTTCCCGTAAATAACCATCTAATCCTTTTGTTCCTTCAGGACCGGAGTGCGGAGGCCTGCTGGATGCGAGCAAGGCCGGTTACATCACCTCCCCGGGTTATCCCCTGGAGTACCCCCCTCATCAGAACTGCCACTGGATCATCAGGGCGCCTGAGCCCTCGCAGCGCATCGTCCTCAACTTCAACCCCCACTTTGAGATCGAGCGGCTGGACTGCCGGTGAGATCCTCTTCACTTGAGAACTTCCTCTGCATACTTTTACACTCAGCGATGATTTGTGTTGACATCCTTTATTAGCTCGCCTCAGAATCATCTCTTGCTTTTGAAGCCGCTCTTTTATACGGTTGGAATTCCCTCGTTGTGGTTTGGCTTGATTTTAAAAGGTTGTGGAGCTAATTTCCGAACTTTGACCACAACAGATCTGGAAAATTTTATTTTCACTGCACCACAAAGCCTCTTCTGGTAGATCACTGGGTTAAACTCCTCGTTCAAGGCCGTGTTTAGTTTTTTTATTCGTGATTCTTAGTCTGCATCAGCAAAACGGCTAGAGGGTTTTCGTAATATCTGACGATTCAGACCATAAAGTACACAAATATTTATAAAATCTATGATTCCTTTGTGTCTGGTAACCAAATACTGGCAGGTTTTTGAAATCTGAGCCTGATTTTGAGACAAAGATCATGAAAGCAGATAAAATAAACACAGTCGTGGATTTTTTTAGGCCTGGTTGTGGGAATGAACAGGAATGGGTCGTAGGAGGCAATGAGACGCAGCTGTTTATGTGAATGTTACCGCATCGGTCAGTTTCCTATCTGAGACATGAATAATCCAAAGCATATGGTCCTCTATTGTGTTTGACCTCAAAGGAAATCACTGCCTCTTTTTGTTTAAGTCAACTCTACACAACCAGGGCAAGGAGAATATTCCATATTTCACCAAGTCTGAGAGCGTTTAGTCTGCAAAATCAACACAGACCAGATTTATCAGAGCTATTTCCTCATTTATAGTCATTTATTCCCCTCCGCCTCTCTTCTGCCCCCTCTTTTCTCTATAAATCCAAGAATTAATAATCCCAAATGGCTTTTGTTGCATTGTTCGCTGACAAAGATGGCCAGGAGAAAAAGCCATAGCTGCTTGTATGAAAGGGTTTTTGTAGTGATTGTCAGCTCCTTTCATGCGGCCGTGTCACGTTCGCAGCAGCCAACTGGAAATGTTATTTTCCTGTCTTGTGCTTTTGTGTCTCCGGGTTTCTGTCACCGTTCGTCAGAGGCAAAATGACGCATAATTAGCTCTTTTGCAATATGTTACTCGGCTCCCAACACCAGCGCCGCCGTGTAAACGCAGCGGCGCGGCGGACTTCCCGCCGATGTGGTGGTGGGAGCTCAGCTGTTGATGAGCAGAGTGTGGAGCAGTTTCTAACAGCCCGGGGCGTTCGGGGCAGAGGGAGGGAAAACTCAAATACCCCTCTGATTTTTCTCCTCTCCAGACAGTTTTATTGGGATGCTTCTTTTCTTTTTTTTTTAACACTCGCCTGGAGGGTTGGAGGCCTCTGCCTGCCCTCTAACTCCCATTCCCTTCATCCTGTGTGTGCATATGAGTGTACTGAGTCAGTGAGTAAGTGGGTGGGCGTCTACATGAGTAATGTGAAGCAGTTTGCTGGGTTAGCCTGTCTTCTGCCTCCTTTCTCTGTTTAATTTATACAATCCTTAAACCAAATTTGTACCAGTATTTATGCTTTTCTTCTCATTTTCCACATTTCTGTGGTTAGCTCTTTGAATGACCTCAGCTTGGAGAAAAATAACTGACCAGACTGATAGGCTAATGGCTAGTTCCAGCAGAAGCAATATCAGTAAGGACTCCATGTTTAAAACTTTGTGTAGCAATGTATGCAAATGCTCAGTCATAAGCTTCTCGCCAGCATCAAATGTGCTTTGTGTATTTAGCCCATCAACATAAAAAAGGTGAAATGCTAAAATGCTACTCAAGCTAACGGGGCCTTTCCATCTGACTCGTAAGCCTCCCATCATGTCTGCTAAGCGTAGCGCACAGCAGTTAGCAGGATGGGCGCGTTTCCACCTGCCGCGAAACGCCGCACCTGGAGTGTCTTTTTTTGCTTTACAATTCCAGAACACCTCAAGCTCAGTAGTTGAGATTGGGCCAGACTGGAAGTCAAACGAAAAAGCAGCGTAAAACATCTGGAAATGTGCATATTTCCGGTTGCTTAACTAATAACAAAAAACTAACTTTTATAAGCCTTTTTTGCACCAATACTTGTAGTTCTGCTCCAATTACTCGTAGCATTTTCTGTAGGTTCCAATTATTTTTACTCAGACAAATCTGCAACTGAACCAAAAGGTGTCCCTGCAAGAGAAATTCTGCTGATTGCTCAGGTGTGTCTGGGGCGGGGCTTGCATTTGTAAACGCAAGAGAAATCTGAGCTTGTTCACAATGTGGAGAGTTTACTCCGCCCTAAAAATCAATGAGTTAGCATACCGCTTTTTTTTTCCACCTGAGCCCTTGAGCTAGCTGTGTACTCTTACCACATCGCAGGATGCAAAGCATACAGCGAGGAATTTGGCTCAACCTTTCAGCGTACTCCTGGTAATCGTCACACTGGGGTTGCTCACTCCGCAAACAAACTACTCTGGAGGCTTTTTGGAAACGCACAGACACCCCCCCCCCCCCCCCCCCCCAAAAATAGTCTGATAACTGTGTTCACATCTGTGCAAATAAATAAGCCAAGGAAAATTAACAAACCAGGTGTGTAAATGCTGGTAGTGTATTTGTTTACATAGAAAAGGTGGAGCTTACACTTTATGCTAAAGCTAGCTGTTGATCTTGTTTTTGCTTGCAGATAATTGTAACATTTAATGTAAATAATCAAGTACTATGAACTTTATCGTAAAGGTGCATAAAAAATGATGGAGATTTTAATGACGGTAGAATTCCACTTTGGTCTTAGCAATACTCAGACTAGCAGTTAGCTTATCAGTCCATCCAAAATGAAACCCATTTAATCCAAAAACTCATCAACATCAGGGAAGATGTGAATCGTTGGACCCCACTTCATAAAATCTGAGCCATTCCTGTAAGATCGCTGACAAATCCCTGCTGTCCTCACACATTCCCGCTCTCTCCATCCTGTGACTCACACGACTTGCTTCCTTTTCTTCGCCTGTACGATTAAGCATGACGGTGCGAGCAGGGAGCCAACTTTTGCATGTTTTCACGGTCAAGGTGAGAGCCAGGGGGGCTGCAGAGGTGGAGGGTTCGGTATTCCGGTCCGGTGTTGAAAATCTGCATGACAGCTGGGATTAGGGAGACAGCAGCGGAGCTAACCGGAGCTGTGTTACCTGACAGACGCAGAGCTACGTGGTGCAGACTGCTGATCGTGGCGGTGGGGCGGAGGACATAAAATGAACATGTTTTAGGCAGATATGCTTAGGAACACTCTCAAGGATGCAAACTGTCAGCGTGAAAGTGCTCATCAACCATCATAACCCCTCCCTGGGTACTTTAGGCCCTCGTAAAAGCAAGAAAAATGCCTGGTCAGCTCAGGCATGTGTTCAGAACTCCGGCTAATATCCCCGGCCAGCTGGTGATTCTCCCTCAGTAGCAGTCAGCACTCGGCGAAAGCCGCAGCTCCACTGCAGCAATCAAATCGGCAGCCCTCGTGCCGGCGCTCCGTGTCTGAGGTGGCACTTTAATTCAGGATTTCATTTCAGGGGGAGTCCGGCCATGTGCCAAATAGCTCTTACCTCGAGGCTGCCAGCCGATTGATGTGAACTAAATGTAATAGAGGCTAGATGAAATATCAGGCCCATATCTCTAATGCAATCTGCCATCACCGAGCCCCAGGATGCTACCTAGTGATATACCCGGAGCTGCTGGAGAAGAGAGGTAGAGATTATGTTGCTGTTTCTCTTCCTCCTTCTCTGTCTGGGTACTCTATCCCTTTTGTTTTTTCTCTTCTAGCCCAGGGAGGATCTATTTTAATTTTACACGCTTGAATTAAACATTGAAATGGGGCAGAATCACAGACGTTCAAGGCGGTTCATTTCTTCCACCTTTTGAGGGTTTTATTTTCTTGTTTTTATTTGGTTATTTGTTATTGAACTCAGCCCGAGGTGAGAAGATTTTATGATATAACTTCATAACGTCCCACACAACCAGGCACACACATACACCGCTGTGTAAATCCACTTGGCCTGTGACAGTCTGAGGAGTTGCCACCATATAACTGTGTTTCCAGGAGTGTGTGTGTGTTTCTTTGTGCAATATCAGCCTCTTATTGATACCCAAGGGGGGAGCAGAAGGGTATGGGATGGATGTCTGTATTCCGCTTGTAATGGAAAATCTATAGATGATCAGCAGAAGCCAGGGGGAACGCTGGTGAAGAAGGCTTGAGGAGGAGGAGGATGATTAGGGATGGTTCGGGGTGAAAGGAGAGACAGATGAGTTCCCAGAGGTCACGGCTGAAGGGAGTTGTTCAGCAGCTGATCTGTCGATATCTGGCACTTGGCCTACATTTACGAAGGAATCACGGTCAACAGCATCCAGCAGCTTCAGGAGGAGAGTGATGATACAATATCTGCACGGCACCAGTTGTGTGTGCAGCCGTTTCGCTGGGATCATTTTGACCCACTACAAGGAAAGCACTGGAGACGCATCATCTGCCAAAATGAAAGGATGCATTTCGAAATAATCAGAGAAAAGCCTAATGGCCCTCACTAAGGGATTGGCTGAAACAGAAGTCGTGTTTTACTTCATTTTCCCTTAAATCTGACTTTAGGAAACAGTTTTACATTTTCTGGCAGAAGTTTGGAGTACTAAAGACAAATTTTCAGCTTTTTTTATCGATGAGTCAAAAGTATTTCAATTCAATTCAATTCAAGTTTATTTATATAGCGCCAAATCACGACAAGAGATGTCTCAAGGCACTTCACATAATAAACATTCCAATTCAGGTCAGTTCATTAAGCCAATCAGAAATAATGTTTCCTATATAAGGAACCCAGCTAATTGCATCAAGTCACTGACTAGTGTCAGTGACTATACAGCAGTCCTCATACTAAGCACACTGCAGGTCACCTTATGCCAGAGGCTTTCAGACTAAAGTCTTTTTTGAGCAATGAGTGATGAGGCCAATGTGTAAAACAAAATGTTTATTATCTGTGAAAGTTTTTGTAACAAATCAGTAACTGCATTCTGTCCTCATG